TGGATCTCTGCTATAGTACAAACTTCCTTCTGTTTGATTTCTTACAGCAGTGCATGCTAATTCCACAGATTTTATCAGAGCTGAGGGCACCCTATCTACTTTTTCCCAAGACAATAGTTGTCTTGGGGCGAGAGACAAATCTGCAGCATTTCACTGCAGTTAGATTTAATCAGAGGGAATCAGTAAGTAACCCACTGCAATGAAAACCTCTCTTGCCAAGTTTCTGAAGCAGTGGGCTGTATGTCCCCAAGAAAACCTGAGTAGCCACTAGCGCCCCACTGTGGTGTTGTGGGGAAAATCATCCACTTTGCTCTGGCTCAACTTTAGATTAAATTAAAGCTAATTCTGGAGATGCTTTTTGGTTATCAAAAATTGCAGCAATGTCTTGAGATGAACCCATTGCGGTGCTTTATTTGCTTGGGTGCAGTTTCTTGATTTATATAAAATTGTATTGGCAAATTAGAAGCCTCAAAATCTTCCCTTTGCTCTCATTTGTCAAGAGGGGGTCAACCCTGTCTTAACTAAAGCAAAAACAGATCTGTATGAATCGCGGGGCCATTGTGGACTGTCTGCAGTGGAAATGATCACACTTAAAGCTGACCATTTCCTGAGCCCCCCTGCGTGTCTCATCTGGTGGTGGTGGTAACAACTTATCCTATAATTAAAATAATAATTAGGAAGTTGGCATGATGCTTCCAGTACCAATCGTAAATATAATTGTTTCCAAAACACTTGAAGGATCATATATATATATCACACTTAATATATATATTAAGTGTTTTACCAAGACACCTGGTCTACCCCAACATGTGGGAGGGGGCATTCTGCTCCCTTTCGCCTTTCAGCTCCAATCCAGGAGCCCTCAAGCATTTGCATTCACGATGAACCATTTTATACCAAATTTATATTTTGTTGATAAAGAAATAAAGGGTATAGATCTATTTCAAGCTTTTTAGCTTTCATCAGCTAGCCATACCCTTACTCGGATTCGAACTTGGGCTTCCTGCATGTTAGTCAGTTGAATTAACCTTCTGAGTCACAAGTTCTCTTCCCTTCATCAGCTTGAGCCAGGGGAAAAATTAAGTGTTTTTCTATCGAGACACCTGGTCTACCCCAGCATGTGGGAGGGGGCATTCTGCTTCCTTTCGCCTTTCAGCTCCAATCCAGGAGCCCTCAAGCAGTCGCATTCACGACAAACGATTTTATACCAAATTTATATTTTGCTGATAAAGAAATATATATATCAGAGCTTCTCTTGATACAATTAAATTGGGGTGGGGGCTGCAATTTAGTGCTCTGTTTGGTAAGGGGAATGGCTTCAGGGGAGAGGGTCACAGAAATAAGGCTAGGTGGCTGACAATATCCTCAAAAGCTAGCCAGATTGACCTTGTGTTTGCCATCATCTGGTGAATGAGTGTTTGTGTTGCTAGTCACCATGGCAACTATTTTGTGAGAGTCCCCATATCATGCTCTCTAAATTTCAAATGCTCGGGCACTAATTGGGCAAATACGTTCAGTGGAGAGACTTCACATATGTTGCCAACAGTTGAGAAATCAAGCAACATTCCTACAAAAGAGACCCATTACCCGCGGATATGGATTCCATGTGTGGAAATCACTTGTTCAGGTGAAATGCCATAACTCACAGCCTTGATGTAATCTCAGAGTCATCCCCCCCTCGCTCTGCCTTTCCTATCACAGATTCAGCTGCGGATATTAAAAATAGGGGAATGCCTGCGGACTTAGGAGGAGGAAATCACTACAGATGTTGTAGCTATTCTTGGAATCCACCTCTCCTATTTTGGGGGCTGCAGCTTCCCGAATTCTGATCCAGAATAATTTAACTCGTGCATCCTGATAAGCCTTAATATTATTATTTCCTTTAGGTTTAGTGTGCTGCATTTTTTTCCTTGTTCAATCATGTTCTATTCTGGGAGACTGCCTGGAGTTTTCTTGGCAAGGATTTTCAGAAATGGTTTGCCATTGCCTGCTTCCTAGGGCTGAGAGAGAGGGTCTGGCCCAAGATCACCCAGTTGGTATTGTGCTTAAGGCAAAACTGGAACTCACAGTCCCATAGTGCTTTAACCACTACATCAAGAAACTCTCAAGTGTGCTGTATAGACCCAACTAATTGTATCTAACTTTAGCAAGCTATAGGTTAGCATCCTTTGGCGGTGTAATGGCATTCATTATATACAAGGCATGGGTCAGATGGGGCCTTGAAGCACAAATATTGGCCACTGTTTTACTTCTCAGGAAGCATCTACTGTATTATTTTAGTGCTGAAGATAAAATTATGTCCATCCTAATATTCAGTCTATGAATATGGCTCTATCCAGGAATATGGATGGGAAATTAGATCCATCCATCCTTTCATTAGCCCCCGCAATGGGCCATTCCCTTTTCTCATCCAAATTCACACCAACATTTATTTTATAGAGACACTTGGCTTAGACCTACCTCAAGCCCATTTTTAATTGCATTATTGTATAAGGTTGGCAAGTGAATTGCTCTACAGTATTAGACAGGAGGATATTAAACAGTGGGATCCAAGCCCTGAATTTCTGTATTAGGAAGTTACCATAAAACGTATTTAAAAGGACTGCTTATTCTCTGACAAGTGCTGGTTTGTGTTATTGTTTTATTTAAATTTGTGGTATCACCACAAAACATCCGCATTGAGGTATAGTAATATGTAAATGCATTTAATTCATTCATTTCTGAAACAAGTAAGCGATAAAAGCTTATTTGACTGAAAGTCATTATTTGCTCTACTTATTATATTTATGGTCTTTAAAGTATTTAGTATTTAGGTCTTTCGTATTTATAGTCTGTCAGTAGTAGTCTTACTCAAACTGTGGAACTTCTTTCCTAAGGAAGCTCCACTGGTCTTATTTGAAGCTATTTTCTGAAAATTAGTAATATTTTTACCTTAAGTTTGTTCTCAATCTATTTTCTGTTTCATTAGTTTTACTATTTTAACAGATATTTAACCTCATCACTCCAAGCTGTGTATGCGTTTAGAAAGGTGGGAAGACATTCTTCTCTTAAGCGGAGTATCTTTGAACATCTGCATAGTTAGTGGCAATTTGGGTTATTTTGAAGTGTCCTTCAAAGATTTGTTACATATCTAAAACCTAAGGGCCTTCTTCAATTAAGCTATAGCAGAAGTGTGATAATGTGATAATGACTCTGACTATAAAATGAAGATTGAAGTAGGCCCATGACTAGCCTAATTATGTCACAGATCTATTTTCCAAATGGCACTCAAGTGAATAAATGACATTGAATATTAAAAAATAGACAGAAGTTTTGCTCTTCACCTTAAAAGCTACTTTATAGCCTTAATCTTTAAGACACAATGAGAAAAAGTGATAAGGTTTCAAACTTTAATGTTCCAGTTAACTCTGGTGAACATTAAATTCCACTGGAATTTTGGAGGTATGTGCTAATGTTCTTGAACAATGCATGGGGTTCCCATTCCCCAAATTTGGGAGGCATGGGAACATTGGCTAAGACCTCATGTGATGTCCAAACCTCTTCTTTGCAAGTCCAGAGCCAACTATGACCCCCTTTGCAAAACAAATGGGAAATATTAGTCCACTATTATGACATGAGGAACACAGAAAAACATCAGAAAATTAAATACCATATGAGTAAATCAGTGATGGGTTTCAAAAATTTTTACTACCGGTTCTGTGGGTGTGGTTTGGTGGGCGTGGCATAGCTTGGTGGGCATGACTTGATAGGCATGACAAGGGAAGGATACTGCAAAATCCCCATTTCCTCCTCATCAGTTGGGACTTGGGAGGCAGAGAATAGATGGGGGCGGGGCCAGTCAAATTTTTTACTACCAGTTCTCCAAACTACTTAAAATTTCCTCTACCAGTTTTCCAGAACTGGTCAGAACCTGCTGAAACCCATCTCTGCAGTAAATGTATAATAATTTCAAATAAAAAACATTTTCTTTTTAAACTATGTGACACAATATTTTAGCTCAGGGGTTTCCAAACTTGGCAATTTTAAGATTGGTGGAATTGCCATGACTGGCTGAGGAATTCTGGGAGTTGAAATCCACAAGTCTTAAAATTGCCAAGTTTTAGATGATAAACTATTAGATAAGACCCGTTTTAGATGATAAACTGTTTTTTAAAAAATATCAGGAGTTTCAAACTGGGTATTCTGGTTAGGCAGCTCTGACATTATTGGTTTATCTTTCTAACCTGGAGAATTAATGATCTATTAAGGCTGAGCTCTACTCTGATTGAAACCATCAGCAGAAACTCATTTAAAGGCTGTAATATAATAGAGTAGCTAAGTTGTTGGAGCAGCCGCTGGAAGATCCAGTTTCAAATTCATCCTCAAGCTTGGGAGCTACTTTAGTGCCTTTAAACCAGGGGTGAAATTTAGCAGGTTCTGACAGGTTCTGGAGAACCGGTAGCGGAAATTTTGAGCAGTTTGGAGAACCGGTAGCGGAAATTTTGAGTAGTTCGAAGAACCGGCAAATAGAACCTCTGGCTGGCCCCAGAGGGGGTGGGAATGGAGATTTTGCAATATCCTTCCCCTAGGATTGGGGAGGGAATGGAGATTTTGTAGTAGCCTTCCCCTGGAATGGGGAGGGAATGGAGATTTTGCAGTATCCTTCCCCTGCCACGCCCACCAAATCAGACCATGCCCACCAAGCCACGCCCACAAAACCGGTAGTAAAAAAAATTGGATTTCATCACTGCTTTAAACCAGTCAACAACTATCTCAGGATAGTTGTTCTGGGTTAAAGTAGGAGGAAGGAATACTATATATGCCACCGTGAGCTGTTGCATGAAAAGTGGGATATAAATCTAACAAATACATAATCATGTAATTCCCTAAGGATTGATAAATAACTCTTATCCATTTACATGGCCTGAGAGGACAAGGCTCTCTGAAATTCAAGGAACTAAGCCATACAAATCCTTCCTGGTTTTGTTTTGTTCTTAAAATGTTTTGGCATTTCTCCTCAGCTGCATCACCCTTCCCAGGGGTTTCGCTTTGGAACTGTGAAAGAAAGTAGCGCTGAAGATTATTTCAAGCAAAGCTTCCCAGATATGCATGAATACATGAAACGATTCAACGTACCTGCAACTCCCGACGGAGTGGAATACTTGAAGTAAGTAGGCTTCTTGGGGTTAGAGATAAATCAACGAAGTCCTGCCAAGGGAGAAGACTTGGGTTCCCTTTGGGTTGGCATTCCAGCTTAATGGAGACAGTCTGTCATGCTGGAGCTTTCCAGCTATCGCTGAGCTGCAGCTTCAAGCAGCCCATGAAGGAATGGCTAATGGAAAGGATGCTGAGAGTTTGGTTCAAACCAATCTGCAGCCCACAGATTTGCCTATCCCAGATTTAGTTGTGCAGGTGCCTCATCCTAGTACATATGATTAACATGCCCATAAAGGCCAATGAGAGCAGGAAGGCAGCCGATGAATAGAAAGATAGGCCCTCCATGTTTCTGAGTGCACAGAAACGTAGCGTAGCTTCTCCAAAGACCAGTCAATAAGCATTGGAATTCAGAGATGTCCACAGAAACTGATGCTTTGCTCAAAATGAACATTGGAGCATTGTACCACCACAATTTGTTATTTTTTATTTATTTATAAAATTTATTGGCTGCCCGTTTTACCATAGGGTAACCCGAGCGGCTTACAGTTACACATTCAGTTAAAACATAAAAAGTTAAAACCAGACATTAAAACCAAGGACATGTGGGGAGGGCGGGGGTAGAGTGGGGGGAGGTGGGATCTCTTATTACTCAATCAACCACCTTCATTCACCCACTGGGGCTCCAAACCAACTGCAAGAGCCACGTCTTTAGGCCCTTATGAAAAGATAGGAGAGTTGGGACCAACCTCACATCCAAGGGCAAGATGTTCTAGAAGGCAGGAGCCATAGCAGAGAAGGCCCTCCTCCTGGACCCCACCAGGTAGACTAATCGTACTGACTGGGCCTACAGCATGTCTCCTCTGCCAGCACAAGTGGTACGGGCCAATCCCAGTGGGGTGAGATGGTCCCTCAAATAAGCTGGACCCTGCTTCTTTAATATGTGCATGAAATATCACAATTCACAAACGAAAAGGGCTACAGTTTCCATTGCAATGGCAGAGTGTTTTTTTTTAATCATTGTTGTGACCTAGGCCCAAGTAGTTATTACCAGACACAATCAGTCCTAAACAAACATATTTTATTAGAACAGTTGAGAATTACTTCATTCTCAGATTAGTCCAAATTAATTCCAAAACAAATTCTTCATAAACAGTCCTTCGGCCTTATCACCAACCTTTGTCTTCTTTGGCACCCTGCCAAAGGCTTTTCTTGGCAAAACCCCACAAAGTTCAGAAGCAAGAGACGCTGACAAGAAATAAATGTAGCAGCGTTGCTTTCCTACAAAGATCCCAAGAGCTGTTTTTAAGCTTTCTGGGAGGGGCCAATCATCTCCTGGCCTTACTCCCGAATTGTCCCTTTTGCTTTAGCTGCTCTTGCCTTCTGGCAGCTCTTCACATACATGCACTAGGAACAGGCTCCTCCTGTTCCTCTACCTCTCTGCCATCCACCTCTGGAGGCTCCGGAGTCCGCGCATCACTCCCAGATAGCCCTGGCCCCATCTCTGCCTCCGACACTGAGCCCTCGTCCAGGCCTTCCCCTGACTCCAGGACTGGCCCATGGTCCTCCCCAGCCTCCTCACTGTCCGACTCCACTGCCAGCTCCACAGGTTGCTGGAAGACCACAACAATCGTCTGCTTAGTTTTGATGCCCCCTATGGGTGCCTCCCACTGCATATGCCAATTTTTTTTTTTAAATGTAATCATGAAAGACAGAAATTTATAGTGGAGCTGATCCTATTAGTGATGGATCTCAGAATGTTCAACAAACTAGAGAGTTCCCAAATGATCCCTTCAGCTGGAAGAATGGGTACAATAGCATTACAAAGTGCCCCAAAAGAGTTTCAACTCCACCCATACATTAATGGGATCAGAGCTAGCAGTGAGTGATCAGGAGAGGGATCTTGGAATCAGAGTGGACAATTTCAACCCAGTGTATGGCTGCTATCCAAAAGGGGGGGGGGAAAATCCCTGTTTGGAATGATTTGGAAAAGAATTGCAAATAAAACAGCCAATCTAGGAATGGTTTCACACATCAAAACTTTACTTAGCCCTTCTCTGTGTGGGTTGCAAGTAGATGTTAAAACAGAATAAACAAGCGAAGTTGACTGAAAGTCATCTGACCTAAATCCTCAGAGGAGACTTTGCAGTCCATCAAAGGTCCTTTGAAGCTCCATAGGTTTTACAGATCAATTTGCTGTTATTCAAAAATTACCAGATAAAGGTTGATTTAAAAAAAAAAAAAATACATTACTGGTTTTTTTTAAAAAAAAAAATCTGATTGCTGCTTTTAAAATAATGTTTCTAGCTGAAATGTATCCATTAGCTTTTAAAAGGCTTCTATGTTTCATTTCACCAAGTTAAAAAAAAAAAAAGATACTGTAAATTGGTTGACAGGCTAGGACACCAGCATCAGATTACATATGTTTATTGGCTCATAGATGAAATTTTGCTTTGATTTTTATTAGGATTAAGGAAAATAGATCTAGAATTTCCATCTGGAAACAGCAAGCCTTGTAGAAACGAATAAAACTTAATCACTGCTTGTTTGTTGCACTTCGTTGACTATTTTCCTTTTTAGGCAGGATCCAGAGAAATTAGATGCCTTCATCATGGACAAAGCCCTTCTGGATTATGAAGTATCCATTGATGCGGACTGTAAACTTTTGACGGTGGGAAAACCATTTGCAATTGAAGGTATGAAACAACTTTCTAAAACTGTGGTTTATGTGACTATTTTATTTGTTTATTTGTATACATATCCTTTATAGCGGTGGGGAGTGGGGAGATGCCCAAGCACTGAAAACCTTGGAAGGGGTCCAAATTGTAGTTGTTAGTGTCGCAGAATGTCAAAGAATAAAAATGCCGAGGAGTAATCATATAAATTGTATTTAATTAATACTATATGATGTTGTTTATACTAGCAAGTAATTGAATTCCAATTTTAAATTAAAATCAAATTAAATCTTACTTTTTGACGTTCACTGCTTAGGAATCCCTCCTTGGTTCAAAGCAAAACAAAACACACAAGCTGTTTATCCTTCTTTTACATCTAACAGGCCCACAAAGCACCTTACTACCCTGTTTCCCTGAAAATAATACATCCCCTGATAAGAAGCCCAATCGGGCTTTTGAGCGCATGTGCTAAAATAAGCCTCCCCCCGAAAATATTTAAACGCAGAGCTGGAAATCAGGTAAGACAGCAAGAGGAGGCCCATCTTGCTCCATGCACCCCAAAATAATAAGACCTCCCTGAAAATAAGGCCAAGCACTTATTTCGGGGTTTAAAAAAATACAAGACAGGGTCTTATTTTCAGGGAAACACGGTATGTTTAAATAGAAAATTATATCCATAATCAAAGAAAAAATTGACCAGAGTAGGGAAAAGCCATCCATGAAGAAGGCAAAGCTTCCTTTTACGATGCTGTGATTTATTCTGGTTCAGTAGGATAACAAGGTAGGAAAGAAGCGTTAAGAATACTGAGGTTCAGTGGTCTGCATAATGATTCAGTGGTTGCTGCTTTTCAGAGTTATGTGAGGAGGGAGGGAGGAAGGAGCGAGGGAGGAAGGAAAGAAGGAGGGAGGGAGGAGGGAGGGAGGGAGGAGGGAGGGAGGAAGGAAGGAAGGAAAGAAAGAAAGAAGGAAAGAAAGAAAGAAAGAAAGAAAGAAAGAAAGAAAGAAAGAAAGAAAGAAAGAAAGAAAGAAAGAAAGAAAGAAAGAAAGAAAGAAAGAAGGCAGGCCTAGGAGTACTTTTGTGGTTGCCAAATTGGAGGCAAGCAAAGAATAATGTCATGACTTATATCCAGTTCTTATTTCCGGCAAATATGGACTTTTAACTTTCTACAGCATGACTGGTTCCACTCTGTAAAACACTTACCTAGTTCAAATAGACAACCCTTAGAGTGAACCAACCAAGCTGACTAAATGTAATTTCTTGCATATCCAAACACACAAGGGAACCACTTAATATAAAACGATGTCATATTTCTCAGATGCAAAACATGATACAGGAATTGCTGATCTCCTGGTCTTTTCCAGTTCTGTGCAAGGACTTAGTGGACTTCACTAATAGTCATGAATTGGCAAGCAATTAGAAATCCCCATTGGCAAAATCGCAGAGCTCTTTGGAATGTATTCACTTAATAGACATCTTCTTTTTAACTGGTGTAAACCCGAGGCTCTCTTTCTCAGTTGAAATGCCAACAATAATAGGCGCCTTGGGTGCAATACCAAAACTACTGGAGCATCTTCCTCTTGACCCATTCACTCTTCCTTTTTATATTTCTTTTCTGATTCATGCCTCATATATTCTCAAGGTATCATCAAATCACCTCAATATGTTTCTTTTATACTGCTCTTTTATTTTTGTGTTTAGTCCACATATGTTCAGCATCCATTCACCCTTGATCCCATATCCTCTTGTTTTATTGCGTTTTTTTTATAACCAATCTCTACTTGAACTTATTTTTATATTTCTTGTGTCACAGCAAACTCACAATAGGCAAAAGCATGCCCTTACACACATTGCATCATTAAATTCTCTGTTAGGCAATGCATTGTAAGCCGCCCTGAGTCTCCGGAGAAGGGCGGCATATAAATCAAATTTAAAAAAAATAATAATAATAATTCAGGCCAACCACACAGCAACATCTGTATGCAAAAGTACATGCACATTCATATTCTCAATGCAATGTGATCCCAAGCATTCCATTCCATTCATTCATTCACTCACTCATTCATTCATTCACTCACTCACTCACTCATTCATTTATTCATTCATTCGTTCGTTCGTTCGTTCGTCCATTTGTTTTTGCTTATACATCACTTCAAATAAGCAAATTTAAATACAGTGCATGAAATACAGTGCATAAATACACTGTACATAAATACACTGCATGAAACAATTGATGGACTGTTGTTAGCCCTCATCTTACTTGCCATTCAATATTCAATCATTTACTAAGCATTTTATCTCTTCTCTTGTATCCATGATATATCACATTAATTTCCCTTAAAATATTGTGCATTTTGCTGTTTTTTTTAAATGTAAATCATTTTTCTATCTTTGTCTACTTTCTTTGCAACTCTTTTTTGTCTCTCTGAATATGTTATACAACATGTTTCTCTCATCTTTATATTTTGCAACAATTGTTCTCTTGTGTGGATTCTTTTGTCCCCTACAATCTCTTTCACATCATCCTTTCACCAAGCTTCCTTTTCATTCTTAACGTAACCACACATATTTCTATAGAACTCTGTAACACAATTCTTTTCACAGAATCATAAACTTAGAAATCTCAGAAATCATTTAATGCTATTCCTTGCTCACTGCAGGCTAAAGCTTCTCTTACAAATGACCATCCAACTTCTGTGTAAGGAGCGCCATCAAAGAATAATTTACCAGTTCATGTGGTAACTTGATCCACTCAGAAAGTTTCTCTTGGTGTCTAGCCTGAATCCATCTCCTTATAGTTTTAACTCATTAGTTCTACTCTCAGGAACTAAGAATACATTTCTCTGATCTCCTCTTTTCTAAACAGCTTCTGCATCTACTTTCCCTGTTGGGAGAATGATCTATACCAGTGATGGCTAACCTTTTTGCCATCGAGTGCCAGGAGAGGGGGAGGCGGGGAGGGTCATGCGCGCACATGCCCATGCTCATGTGTGCGGAACACCCTCCCCCTCCCCCCCCCCGCTCCTGGCACATGATGGCCTGGTAGGCCCGTTTTTCTTTCGTACCTGGCTCCAGATCCTCTCTGTGTATCTGGGAACGGCGAAAACAACCTTTCCCATTCCCTTGGAGGCCCTACAGAGGCTGAAAAAGCCCATTTCCCAACTCCCGGTGAGACAGGAAGTGACGTTTTTTTCCTGTCCCCAGCCTCCAGAACCTCTCTAGGAGTCTGTAGGAGCCTCTCTAGGAGTCTGTAGAAGCCTCTCTAGGAGTCTCTGGAGGCTGGGGACAGGAAAAAAGTCACTTCCTGTCCCACCGGGAGTGGGGAATTGGGTCCTTTGAGCCTCTGTAGGGCCTCCAAGGAAGTGGGAAAGGCTGTTTTCACCATTCCCAGATACACAGAGAGGATCTGGAGTCAGGTAAGAAAAAAAACGGACCTTCCCCACCCCCCTCAGGCCCTCCAGAGGCAGGAAACAGCCTGTTTCCCTAGTTCTGGTGGGCCCAGAAGGCCCGAAAATCAGCTGGCCGGCGCGCGCATGCGCCCCAGAGCTGAGCTGGCGTGCCCACTAATATGGCTCCACGTGCCACCTGTGGCACGGGTGCCATAGGTTCGCCATCACGGATCTAGATCATTTCCTTCTCATTTCTTTCTTTTATTTCCATCTCCATTTTCCCCCAAGATGCACTCTTAATGCTTGCAAACAATGGTTCGTCCCATGTTCAGAAGCTCTCATCACCCTTGAATCCTTCACTAGTTCTGTCTTTGATCACAAGTAATCAAATCAAGCATGCTTTTTGATTCATTCTTTTCCCATTTGTAATTATGAAAAGATTTAGGCTAAAATCACAGGTGTTTTTTTTTCTAAATAGATACTCCCCAAGCTATCACCATTCTAATTTATTCTTAAGTCTCTAAACCATTCGGTATCTTTTTTTGGGGGTACCCTCATCTCATTATCATCCATTTATTCATCTCCCTCAGATCATATTTGTTAGATCGGCACAGGAATGGAAGACGCGACCAGCTCGTTACATTTGTAACTTTATTTAGAACAGGAAAACAAGACTGGCTGCGCGCTGCCGGAGCTCTCCTTATATTCGCTCCAGCAGTCGCACCGCCCCTGACAGTGATTCAAACTTTCCCGCCCGATGGCTGGCAGCCAATCCGGGCGGATGTCCTTATAAGGACATAACAATATTCATTCAGAATGTTGCATTTTTTTCCCATTATCTCATTATTACTATTCATTTATTTTATTTTATTTATTTATTTTATTAAATTTGTATACCGCCCTTCTCCTGCTGGACTCAGGACAGTGCACAGCCAAAAATAAAAAACATCCCAATACAAAATTTAAAATTTTTAAAAGAATTACACAACTTTGGCCCAGAATTTAAAACATCCCAACTAAAACCCATAGACAATTAAAAATCTAACATCTCAAAAGGGGGCGGGGGGTTACGCCAGCCCTGCTTGATGGAAAAGAAAAGTTTTTAGGGCAGGGCGAAAGACCCGGAGATCTGGTATCATGCGTATCTCCGGGGGCAAATCGTTCCAGAGGACAGGTGCTGCCACAGAGAAGGCCCTCCCCCTGGGGGTCGCCAGCTGACACTGCCTGGCTGATGGCACCCTGAGGAGTCCCTCTCTGTGGGAGCGTACTGGCCGGTGGGAGGCTATCGGCGGCAGAAGGCGGTCCCGCAAATACCCAGGTCCTATGCCATGGAGCGCTTTAAAGGTGGTAACCAGCACCTTGAAGCGCACCCGGAAGACCACCGGAAGCCAATGCAGCTCACTCAGGAGAGGTGTCACATGGGAGTGCCCCCTCGCTCCCATAATCCCCCGCGCGGCCGCATTCTGCACCAGTTGGAGCCTCCGGGTGCTCCTCAAGGAGAGCCCCATGTAGAGAGCATTGCAGTAGTCCAGGCGGGAAGTGACGAGTGCCTGAGTAACTGTGCGTAAGGAGTCCCGATCCAGAAAGGGACACAACTGGCAAATCAGACGAACCTGATGAAAAGCCCCCCTGGC